TTGCCCCCCCCCCCCCCCCTCCCCCCCCCCGTGCTCGCTTTCTGTTGCTGCCATGCTGGGCCTCATCCGCCGGCGGGATGTGCTGCGGTCACCCATTGTGGCCACTAGTGCCACCCGCACCCACTCACCACCCTCCTGTCCGCCCGCACCCACGCCAGCGCGGCCGACCGCAAGTGCGCCAAGCTGACTGAGGGCGCGTCCTGCAAGAACGACGACGCGTGCCAAAGCGGATATTGGTGCGCGCCACCGGCGGGCACGGCTGCGTCCCAGGCTTGCTGCATGCCACGCGTACGCACCCCCGCACCTCGCAATTCTCCCAGCTCGCCAATTCCAACCCAACACAACCCTCCCCTGCAGCGCCGTCGACTGGTACATGTGCACCTCCCGGCCCCAGCTGGGTGGCCCCGGGAGTTCCTGCTACGACGGCAGCGAGTGCAAAAGCGGCAGTTGGTGCGCCCGCCCGCCGCTGCCCTACTTGCTGCCGTGGCCGGCAGCTTGCTTGCACCCCGCCCGAGTCCGCCCATACTCAGCTCGCCCGCCCGCCGGCAGCGCCGCCACGCACACACTAATCGCCAGCCACCCTGGCTCAGCCCTCACGCCGCACCTCACAATGCCCCTCGTGCAGCGACGACTTAGCATACGAGTGCAATTAGGCTGGGCCTGGGGCACAAACTATACCGTACTGACACGGCAAGTTCGCAGACTGGCCACAATTCGGGGTTTCAAGAGCTCTTGGAGCGTCGTGGATGCCGGGGAGGCATGTTTGAGGCCATTCAGGGGACTAACTTCAGGGGACTAACTTCAGGGGACTAATTTCACCTTTGACAGTTGCGCCAGCGCCGGCGCCAGCCGCCGCTGGCATTGCCCGATCCAATTGGCCCAATGCATTAATGCTCTCCACCCACACAGTGCCCTTCACACACTCATTGCATCGAGCAGCGCCGCACAGCGCTGCACATGGGGTTGTCGCAGTTATCCCATTGCCATTTCGCGGCGCCTGGCGGACGCAGGACGCAGCACCGCCCAGCGGCGCGCGCAGACTTCCCTTCAGCGTTTCCTGACCCTGCATGCAGCCATGCTGCTGCGTTTCCCCTCATAAGCCTTTCCTGACCTGATCTACACATGTGCACAGTTGCGCCAGCGCCGGCGCCAGCCGCCGCTGGCATTGCCCGATCCAATTGGCCCAATGCATTAATGCTCTCCACCCACACAGTGCCCTTCACACACTCATTGCATCGAGCAGCGCCGCACAGCGCTGCACATGGGGTTGTCGCAGTTATCCCATTGCCATTTCGCGGCGCCTGGCGGACGCAGGACGCAGCACCGCCCAGCGGCGCGCGCAGACTTCCCTTCAGCGTTTCCTGACCCTGCATGCAGCCATGCTGCTGCGTTTCCCCTCATAAGCCTTTCCTGACCTGATCTACACATGTGCACAGTTGCGCCAGCGCCGGCGCCAGCCGCCGCTGGCATTGCCCGATCCAATTGGCCCAATGCATTAATGCTCTCCACCCACACAGTGCCCTTCACACACTCATTGCATCGAGCAGCGCCGCACAGCGCTGCACATGGGGTTGTCGCAGTTATCCCATTGCCATTTCGCGGCGCCTGGCGGACGCAGGACGCAGCACCGCCCAGCGGCGCGCGCAGACTTCCCTTCAGCGTTTCCTGACCCTGCATGCAGCCATGCTGCTGCGTTTCCCCTCATAAGCCTTTCCTGACCTGATCTACACATGTGCACAGGCAACCTATAAATTTACGCCATGCTAACAGAAAAGCACCCCGCCAGGGAGCACAGCAGACGGGCGCCGCAGGACACTACTCCCAGCAGGGCAGACGTTCCACGGTTTTGCTATCGACATTCCGGCACACCCCACCAATCTATAGCTCAAGGGTGTTAGATCGGCAGCAGATCAAGCCGAATTTGAGAGGCAGCGAGCAATCAGGGGGGAGTGGGCAACTCGAATTGAGCGCGCGGGCCTATGGCAATCGCACGCGTGCGAGGGAGGCAGGGATAGCGATCCCTCGCGCGATGGCGAGATGAAACGTGGGCCGCCAGCATGCCGCCGCCAGCATGCCCAGCAGTCGCGCGGCGCGCTCCGTGGGAGGCCGCAAATTGGAAGGCCGGCTGGGTGAGTGCGTGGATTCGGGTGAGTTCAGGTGTGCACTCGACGTTGCTCACCTACTCCCAGTTGCACAGCGCTTTGCGGTGGTGGAGGCCGGCCGACCATTCTGCTGCACGTCCCGCCGGATCCGGACCTGTGCCCCAAGCGCAACGCTTTCTGCCTCGGAAACTTGGTACACGGTTGCCGTGGAATGCCGGCTGGAGAAGATGCAGATGATGTGACAGCCCATGCCATGGCATGTGTTGCCCGCTGATGTGGCACCTCCCCCGATTCGTCTGGCTCATCAGGCACGCTCTCTCCCGCGATCCCTCCCTTTCCTTCGCCTTTCAGAGTCTCTAAGGCTTCTATTTCTCCCCTCCCGCACCCCGCAGCTGCCGCAAATTTAAAATTATGAACCAACCTGTCATCCTTTATGCCTTAGAACGGCGCCAAAGCGGCGCCAAGAATGTGTTTCTCACTAAGTCAGATGTAGAGGGCATCATCCGGATCAAGCAGGGCGACCAGCAGGCGCCCTCAGGCCGGCGGCGGCGGGGTGCGGGAGGGGGGGCGGCAGTGCAGGGCGGCGCCAAGAACTACAGCAAGAAGGTGCTGCAGTTCTTCCAGGTGCTGAAGGGCGCTGGCGGTCAGGACATCCTGTGCCGCTGCGTCAAGCGCAGCGGAGAGTGGCGGTGGTGCCCCGTGGTGCCGCTCGAGGAGCTGCCCCGAGTGATCAAGGAGCACCACGAGCGGGCGACTGGCTTCAGCGGGTGTGGAGAAGCTGTACACACATGTGAGTGATACAAGG